TGATATTGTGGCGGGAAACAATAATTCAGAGACCTTTAAAAGCACAAAAGTTGTTAAAAATAGGAAACATGCACATCGGAAAGGAGATCAGGAGGTTAAGAACCTTATTTCCAATGTCAATTATGAAGGGAAGGATGGGGTGAATAAAGAAAGGGGAAGGACTAGAAGTGGGAAGCAGAGAGGAGGGGCACTGATTATTTTTGGTTCTCAATGAAGATACGAATTATCACATGGAACATCCGTGGATTAAATGATCCGGACAAAAGAAAGGTGGTTAAAGTTGCTTTGAGGAAGTGGAATGCCCATGTTATTTGTTTGCAAGAAACCAAGTTGGCTTCTATTTCTGATGATGTGGTTAGAAGCCTTTGGGGAAGTAGGTTCGTGGATTGGGATGCCTTGAACACCTCTGGTACATCAGGCTGCATTCTTATTATGTGGGATCGCAGATGGATGTCCAGAATGAATTTCTAGAAAGGGCTATTTTCTTTGTCATGCGTGTTTCAGATGGAAGATGATAACTTCAGTTGGGTCTTTTCTGGAGTTGATGGACCCGTTATTGATTGTGATAGACCCTTTTTTTGGCAAGAACTTAGCTACATTATGGAACTTATCTACATTTGGTGCTTAGGCGGGGATTTCAATTCAGTTCAGTCTCCATTTGAGAGATCCACAAAGGGGAGGTGGTCCCCGGAGATGACCCAGTTCTCTGACTTTATTGATGGTCACCTTCTTATTGATTTGCCATTGGAAGGGGCAACTTTCACTTGGTTTAGCGGCAGAGACCCAGTTACTCTATCGAGGCTTGATAGATTCCTGATTTCTGGAGATTGGGAGGAGAATTTTCCGGATGTCACTCAGGCAGCTTTGGTTAGAGTCACATCTGGTCATATGTCCTTAGTTCTTGATTGTGGAGGTATGAGATCTAGACGCATACCATTTCGTTTTGAAAATATGTGGTTGGGAGCTGAGGACTTCCAAGGGAAGGTCCAGTCCTGGTGGGGGGTAGCAACGTTTACAGGCTCTAACAGCAATGTGCTTGCTAAGAAGTTTCGATTCTCAAATCTGAGCTTAAGAAGTGGATCAAAGAGGTGTTTGGGAATCTTGAATGGAAGAAAAATAGAGTCCTGGCTGATATTGCTGAACTTGATCGTCTTGATGAGTTAGGGCAAGGTACGGAGTCTCTACGCTCTAGAAGAGTTTCTTGTCAGGCGACTTTTGCTGAGATTGCTACTATGGAGGAGATTTCGTGGCATCAGAAATCTCGGGCTTTGTGGCTCAAAGAAGGTGACCGCAATTCTAAATTCTTTCACAGGCTTGCTAACGCTTATAGAAGATACAATAATATTGGGCGTATTCATGTGAATGGTTCAGAGTTGTGGAAAGAAGATGAGGTGCGTGGGGGAATTGTTTCTTTTTATCAGCAGCTCTATACCGAGACTTTGGAATGGAGACCAAAACTTGACGGTTTGCATTTCGATGCTATTTCTACGCTGGATAGTGATTTGCTTGAGGTTCCATTCTCTGAAAAGGAAGTTCTTAAGGCGTTATCCAATTGTAATGGTGATAAAGCTCCAGGGTGATTCACTATGCGGTTTCTTAAGGAGAGTTGGGAGGTGGTGCGTGATGAGGTAATGGGCACTTTTCAGGATTTTCATTCTTATGGCACATTTGAGAAATCATTGAATGCATCTTTTATTGCTCTTATTCCTAAAAAGGGCAACACCTCTGAAATTAAGGACTTCCGGCCAATCAGTTTAGTGGGATGTATGTATAAGCTTATTGCCAAGGTCCTCGTTCTTAGAATGCGAAATGTTTTGGATGGAATTATCTCAGAGTCACAAAATGCCTTTGGTGGTGGTGACAGATTTTAGATTCCGTTCTTATCGCAGGAGAATGTGTCGATTCCAGGTTGAAGAGTGAAGTTCCTGGTGTCTTCTGCAAACTTGATATCGAGAAAGCTTATGATCACGTGAATTAGAAATTTCTTCTTTACTTGCTTCGGAGAATGGGGTTCGGGGATCGATGGATAAAATGGATTGAATCTTTCATCTCGTCCGTCATGTTCTCTGTGCTTGTGAACAGCTCTCCTGCTGGGTTTTTCCCGAGTTCGCGTGGTTTGAGACAAGGAGACCCTTTGTCGTCTTTTCTATTCCTAATTGTTATGGAGGGATTGAGTAGATTAATGAAAAGGGCAAAGGATCTGGGTTACATAAGGGGGTTCACAGTTGACAGAGATGTTGCTAATCAGATTGAGATATCCCATTTGTTGTTTGCAGATGACACCTTGGTTTTCTGTGATGCTGATGTTTCCCAACTCAGGTATTTGAGGTGCATTCTTACATGTTTCCAAGCGGTGTTTGGTCTTAAGATTAATGTTGGAAAGAGTGTGCTTGTCCCAGTGGGGGATGTCTATGATATTTCCTCCTTAACTGTTGTTCTTGGGTGTGGAGTGGGTGTTTTTCCACTCCCTTATTTGGGATTACCTTTGGGAATCTCCTCCAGGAGAGTGGGGACTTGGGATCCGGTGATTAACAGGAATGAAAAAAGATTGGCGGGGTGGAAAAAACAGTATCTTTCGAAAGGGGGGAAGGTCACTCTTATTAAGAGCACCCTCTCATCCCTTCCCACATATTTCTTATCTTTGCTTCAAATCCCGTGCTCTGTTGCTGAACGGATTGAAAAAATTCAGAGAGATTTTCTTTGGGGTGGAAAAGGAGAGGAGTTTAAGTATCATCTTGTTAATTGAGAGCAGGTTTGCAAACCTTTGAAGTTTGGCGGTTTAGGTATTCGGAAGTTGGTCCCTTTTAATAGAGCCTTATTGGGGAAGTGGTTATGGAGGTTCGGTAAAGAGCGTCATCGACAATGGAGAAGAGTTATTTCGTGTCGTTTTGGGGAGGAAAGTGGAGGTTGGTCCTCTAGTCCTGTTTCTATTACCGGGGGCGTTAGCGTTTGGAAGTTCATTCGGAAAGGTTGGGATGTGTTTTCCACCCATATTCGGTTCAAGGTTCGTAATGGTATGAATGTTAGATTTTGGGAAGACTTATGGTGTGGTGACCAGTTGTTGTCTCTTTCCTTTCCTCATCTCTTTTGCATTGCCGAGAATAAGCATGCTTACGTAGTTGACTATTATGATCTTGATAATAGTGGAGTTACGTGGGATGTGCGTTTTAGGCGTTCTTTTCAGGATTGGGAGATAGCAGAAGTTTGCGTCCTTTTGGACTTGTTGTATAGACAGAAGGATGTTGGCAGAGGTTGTGATGACATTTTGTGGACCCCCTCTCTTCTTGGTAGATACGAAGTTCGATCCATGTTCTTGTGTTTGTCTAATTTTATTGGACATAATTTCCCATAGAAGTGTATTTGGCGCTCTAAAGCTCCTCTTAGAGTCGCCTTCTTTGTTTGGACTGCTTCCTGGGGGAAAATTCTTACATTGGATAATCTGCGTAAGAGAGTTAATACCATTGTTAACTGGTGCTGTCTCTGTGAAACTGATGGTGAGTCCGTGGACTATCTTCTTATGCATTGTCCTGTTGCATCTGATTGTTGGAATCTCATATTCAGTATTTTTGGCGTTCAGTGGGTAATGCCTAAGCACTCTTTCCTATTAATTAATGCTTGGAGAAGATGCCTTGTTACTGGTCATGCTCGTGATTTTTGGAGGGTTGCACCACATCGTGTTTGGTGGTGTATTTGGAGAGAGAGAAATAACAGAAATTTTGAAGGAAATGAATCGTCTTTTGCAAACCTAAAGTCTCTTATTCTTCGCTCTCTTTTTTGTTATGTTAGAGGCAGCGCTTGCTCCTGGATTGATGATTTTTTTGTTCTATTGGACTCTGTTGGTCCGTAGGTTTGGCTTTTGCTCTTTCGTTTTTTTGTATTAGGGACACTTTCCCCTTTTGAATGTTTTTCTAATATATTTTTTACTTATCAAAAAAAAAAAATAATTCATTCATCTTGGTCAGTTCATTTTTATAATTTTATTTTATATTTATTATTATTTTTTCTTTCTATTATAACCATATTAGATGTGCATTTGTATCACATGCTCACCTTACTTCCCTAAAGCCCACAGCTAATGTTGCACCTTGCATTTTGACTCCAGGAGCCTTGTCCCCTTAATTTGCCATGAGCCTTTAGTAACTACCTTCTGATACAAATTTCTCAATCTTAATTACTAATTCTCTCTTTTTATATGTAGACTTCATGGTAGTATTACAAAGGAAGTTAATTTAGCTCAACTTCAGTTATGTAATATAGGTCCTGGAGAATTGTCTTCTCTATATATCTGGCATATTCTTACTCTTTATGATCGTGTTAAATTTTTTAGTTGCATTGAAGTTAGTTGTTAAAACTCTTCCACCATTTGTCTTATGCTCCCATTTCTTACTTAACAAGAATTACTAAGTACTCCTATACGCGGTCTTTGTACAAGGTTTAGATTAACAAGAACTTTTCCATATATCTTTGATCACATCTTTTTTCCTATTGTACATCGATCATAATCAATTCTGCCTTTACTTTTTGTTTTCCTTATCCTACAAAGGTATCACACATCTTTCTCTGCATCCTTCGTACCTAGCTTATGTAGTTGTTCAGATTGTCATATACGTTAAATTTTACTTCACTTACAATTTTCTTCTCATTTATTGACTTGATGTATCTTTCAAACTTTTTTAATTTCCACATCTGTACAAACCTTTTAATAGGCTTAGAATGATTATTGCAAAATCATATCTTTTTGGCAATTTTACTTCAAAATTGGCAAAGCTTGAGAATTATTATTATTTATTTATTTATTTTTTGAAGCAGTTGCTCTAAAAGTTCACTTTGTCAATTTAGAGAACCTTTGGCCTTCTGGATGAGAATTTTTCTTTTTGGTATTAAGTTGCCTTGTGTCCTTGTTCTGGAACCATCCTAAGCTAGTTATGAAAACTTGGATTATGCGTTTCGTTTTGGAGAGCTTTCTAATCATAATTGGACTCATTATCATCAGATTATAGGTATTTCAATACCAGGCAATGAGATTCGGGCAAATCATCGGAGCTGGTTGACTGAAGCTTCTCCAGATAATGCAGTGGGAATTATAAGATTATTTCTACCATGTATTATTTGTTGGGAAGGTTGGAATGGACGAAATGAGCAAGTATCTGAAGGTACTTGCTTAACTTATAATTATTAGTCATGATGATGCCTCCAATAAGGACATTTTCACATCTTTTCTTAGAAAGCAAAATTCCCTTTTGCTCTTTATGAAACCCGTCACTTTCAGAAAGCTAACGGTATTCCAAAACTGCTGAAATGGTGTGGACCACAGCAAAGTAAACTATGACAGGGCAGGTTGTACCAAAGAAAACACTGTTTAAGGGTGGATGAGTTTGATCATGATTTACAGTTTTGCAAGTTTTCAGAGAAGAAACTTTGGCAGGGTTATGGATAAATAATTTGATGGTTTTAGTAGGGTTTAGAAAGCAAAGCTCCTTGAAAAGAACTGCAAAATGCTCACTAAAATTAATAATGGGTGGTTATTCTTCATGAAAATTAACATAAGGTATGAAAATTGGCTATCTTATCTATGTGCTTGTACTTGGACTAAAAAGAAGTGAATTTGGTTGGGATTGTTTTTCCTAATTCGGAGGGAGGTGGATGGTTTCATGATTAGATCACATGGTATATGTTTTCAGATTCTTGGTTTCTAAAGTCTTTTTGTTTTTATTGTTTGCTTTCATTATATTTTCATCGAATTTCAGTAATTCCTACATGTGAGTCTTTTATATTCCCTTTTGTCTTGTACTTGTATGGATGGATTTCCACAAAACACTCTTTTCTATAATAGATAATAGATTTTCTTACTGTTATGTTATCCAGCTCCCATGGATGTTGTGCTGTTTCTTTGAAATTTCTAGCTTTGTACTCAGCCTTTGTACTCGATTAGCCACAACTGTATACGTCTTACTCCATTACATTAGGTTGTCACTAACAAAAGTACAAATAGCCAGAAATAGGCCTTTCATCCATATAATCTCAGTTTGCACTAGAAACCCCACAATGTCAAGGGAACTAGAAGGACTAAAGAAAAGACCCTTGCCAAGTGCTCCCTTAAGATAGTGTCACACAATCTGCTCATGCTCGTCTCGGTTCCACATAAGCTGACCGAAAGCCAAACAACAAAAAAGATACCAGGTCATTTCACACTGAAGTATAACAGCTTTCCAGCAAAGCATCTACGACTTTCCAAATTATCAATTAATTTGTTTGCTTTTTTTTTTTGATAAATAAATAATTCATTAAAAAAGACGTTCAAACGGGGAACACATCCCTAAGAAACCACAAAAACCTGGGTACCCTAAGGCCCCAAGGAAGCCAAAAACTCAATAGTCTCCTTAGCAGAAGAGCAGAGTCTACCCAAATCCCCAAAACAAAGAGAGCTAATAACAAAAGATTTCAGAACAGTGATGGAAGATTCCTCTCCTTCAAAGGATCTTCTATTTCGCTCTCTCCACAAACACCACCAAAGACACAAAGGCGCCATCCTCCAGAATCCTCGAGCCTGTGCTCCCACCCAACCCCCTCTCCAGGTGTCCATCAGGCCTCTCGTAGATCTAGGCATGACCCAACAAACTCCAAACAAACCTAGCAAAAGGTTCCAACAATTAACTGGCACTGGACAATGTAAGAGAAGAAGATCCACCGACTCGTCCATTGCACTTACACATGCAACACCAATTCACCGTGATAAGCTTTCTCCTTCTCAAATTATCCAACGTCAAAATTTACCCCACATAACTGTCCAAGCAAAAAAGGCCACTTTTAATGGCGCCTTAGTGCGCCACACAACCTTCCACGGGAATACCACCCCATCCGAGTCCACCGGGCATCCGAAAAAAGATCTCACACTAAACATTCCCCTAGTAAAAGGAATCCAAACTAGAGAATCCCTACCTCCTCCCCGGATCACCTGGCTATACAACAGCTCTAAAAAACCAAACACATCATCCATCTCCCAATCTTGAAAAGATTGCTGAAACAACATATCCCAAACTGGTCTCCCGCTATCAAGACGATAGCAGTCAGCCACCAAGGCATGCCTATCCACCGCAATCCTAAACAATCTAGGAAAAGAACATGCTAATGTCTAGTCTCCATACCACACATCTTCCTAAAACCGAATCTCCCTACCATCATGAACTCTGAATCTGATATGCTTAGACAACTCATTCCATTCCTTCCGAATGTCTTTCCAACCACCAACACCTCAAGGTACAGACACCATAGCCGAACACCACCCCCCCTCTCCTCCTCAAAACGACACAATATCACCTTCCTCCACAATCTATCCCGCTCCATACCAAACCTCCACAACCACTTACCTAACAAGGCCCTGTTAAAAGGCAATAGTCGCCTAATCCCAATTCCTCCAAACTTAATAGGCTTACACACCTGCTCCCAACTAACCAGATGATACTTAAACTCATTCCCCAAACCTCCCCATAAAAAATTCCTCTGGAGTCTTTTAATACAAGCAGCAACCGATAACGGAATCTGGAAAAGGGATAAATAATATGTGGGAATGCTCGACAAAGTGCTTTTCAACAAGGTAACCCTCCCCCCTTTTGATAAATATTGCTTCTTCCACTCCGCAAGCCTCCTCTCCACCACCGAATCCCAAACACCTACAATCCTTGAAGATACCCCCAAAGGCAAACACAGGTAAGAGATCGGAAAAGAACTAACTCCACACCCAACAGCAGAAGCTAATTCCTTAATCTTTGGAACCTCACCTACTGGAATCAAAGCGCTTTTCCTCACATTCACTTTCAACCCCGAGACTGCCTGAAAACAAATCAACATCGACCTCAAATATCTCATCTGAGACACCTTAACGTCGCAAAAGACGAGAGTATCATCAGCAAACAACAAATGAGAAATTTTCAGTTGATGCATAACATCCCTTCCCACCCTAAAACCCCTGATGAAGCCCCATCAATCTACTAAGCCCCTCCATCACAATGATGAACAACAATGGGGATAATGGATCTCCCTGACGCAAACCTCGCGAACTATAAAAAAAAACTAATCGGGACTCAATTCACCAACACCGAGAATCTCGCTGAAGAAATGCAGAACTCAATCCAATTCCTCTATTTCTCCCCAAAACCCATCCTTGCCATCAAGTATAATGAAAAACTCCAACTAACATGATTATAAGCTTTCTCCACATCCAACTTAAACAAAACCCCCGGAACCCCACTCCTCAATCGATCATCCACACACTCCCTTGCAATAAGTACAGAATCCAAAATCTGATTCCCCCCTATGAAAGCATTCTGAGATTCCGAAATAACCTCTTCCAAAACCACCCTCAGCCTCAAAGAAAGAACTTTGGCTATTAATTTATAAATGCATCCCAACAAACTAATAGGTCTAAAGTCCTTCACATCTACAAGTCTGTTCTTCGGAATAAGAGCTATAAAAGATGCATTCAAAGATTTCTCAAATCTCCCCTGAGTATGAAAAGCATGAAAAGTTCCCATCACCTCACCCCTAAACACATCCCAACTCTCCAACAGAAACCTCACAGTGAAACCATCCGGACTCGGAGCTTTTTCCCCATTACAATTTCTCAACGCGTTTAACACTTCCTCCTCAGAAAACGGAATCTCCAAACCCTCCCTGTTTGCCTCAGAAATCCTATCAAAATTTAGTCCATCCAGCCGGGGTCTCGTAGACACAGGCTACGTAAATAACCTCTGATAGAATCGGGCAATCCCCCTGCAAACATCATCCTCCCTACTTAAAACCACCCCATCCACAGTAAGCCTCCCTATGTGATTACCCCTCTTATGGGCATTAGCTAACCTATGAAAAACTTAGTGTTTTTGTTCCCCTCCTTAAGCCATAATACTCTAGATTTTTGTCGCCACAAAATATCCTCCGACACAGCAATCTTAGCAATCTCACCCTAGCACACTGCTCTCCTACTTCTCTGCTCATCATCAATACCACCCATGCCTTCCCGGCGATCAATCTCTGCAATTTCCGCCAAAGCCCTACTTTTCCTCCGCTCGAGATTCCCGAATACCTCCTTATTCCACCTTTTTATCTCCTTTTTCAGCACCCCAAGCTTTCTAGCAAGAATAAAACTCGGGTTCCCAGACACCACACTCCCTTCCCACCAAGACCTCACAAACCCCTGGAAGTCATCCGCCCTAAGCCACATATTTTCGAAACGAAAAGGAGTGATTCTAGACCTTAACCCACCACAATCCAATGTCGATCTGATTTGATGTCTGTTTAGCCAAGGCTGCCTAAGTTGCATCCGGAAACTTCTCCTCCCAATCTCTTGAAATAAGAAATCCAGGCGTGAGAGAGTAGTGGACTCTCTGCCATTAACCCATGTGAAACAAGCACCCTCCAAAGGCAAACCATGAAGATGCTGGCCATCAATGAATTCTGAAAATTGTACCATAGTCTGAGTCCATCTTCCTCCTGTTGATCTCTCCAAAGGGGATCTAACCACATTAAAGTCTCCCCCCACACACCACGGAAGACTCCGCTGGTCCTTAACAGATCCCAATTCCTCCCAGAGAAGATACCTCTCCCCATCATCCACTGACCATACACACCCGAGAACATCCACTGAAACCCATCCTCTTCCATAGTAAAACTGCAAGATATGGAAAATCTCCTTCACCACACATCCGCTTTTGACACCCATCTCTTATCCCACATCACCAGAATACCCCCAGATGTCCCAACAGCATCCAACGCCTCCTATTCAATAAACCTCCCACCCCATAGACTCTTGACCACCCTGTTTGAAATAGACGCCATCTTCGTCTCCTGTAAACATATCACATGAACACCCCACTTCCTCACTGCCAATTTGACCACCTTTCTTTTGTCCGAATCATTAAGCCCTCGGACATTCCACGAAATGATGCGGCACTTCATTAAAAACCAATAGATGACCCCTCCTCTCTCCTTCTCCCTTTTCCCCTCTCACTGCTTCTCTCCCTCCCCATCCCATTCTTCCCCTCATAATTAATATCAGAAATCATAAATCAGGCCTCGGACCTCCCTTCCCCCTCTCCACGGGGATAACAGTTACTTCTTTCTATCTGATCTTCTTCTTTCTACCTGTTCTGGTCACACT